CCTTCAAAGTTCTAGAGAAGGTCAATGATAACGCCTACAAGATCAATCTACCGGGAGAATATGGAGTCTCCGCGACATTCAACATCACCGACCTCAGCCCTTACTTTGAACCTAAAGATATTCTGAGTTTGAGGTCAAACTCTTCCGAAGAAGGGGAGGATGATATATCTCGGGTTACAAATTCACACACGCCACAAGTATTAAAAGAAATCAAGTGTTTAATGTCTAGGTGTTATGATCCATTTTGGGTTGAATTCATTGATCCATCCCACACCAAAACCCAAACCATGACCTATCTCTCCCAAAACCCAACCTAGGCCGAAATGCCTACAAGCCCAACCCACTCCCACGTATCCAAAAGTATTTTATTTTCATTTACTACTCAAATAAAGTCCTTTTCCTCTCCATTGAAGCCTTGGCCGAAAGTACTACCCAAAAATAATGTGTGTTGTTTTCTTCCCTAAATATTCCTTACATCAAATAAGAACCTTCTCCACCCCTTCCTACTTCAAAGTCACGAAAATATGCCCCCATTTGTCCTTAAAATCAGTCCCCATCTATCACAAACATCCCCCACTACAAGAGGAACAAACCAGGGGACAAGGAATAAAACATGTCTTTTGTGCTGTTGTGATAATACATCAAACCCACACCCCTTCACACCCCCTTATCCCCATGGCCGAATTCAGCCCCCCAAATGGCCCATTTATCACCTTTCAAATCCACAATAAAGCCAAAGGAATAAAGGATAATCCTTGATGTATTATTCCTCATGTGTGGACCAAAAATCCAGCCCCTCACCTCACCCTTCACATGGCCAAACCACCTCCTTCCCTCACCCTTCACATGGCCGAATACCCCTCATCGAAAACACCCCATATTCACCCTTTAACCTTGATCAATGAGGACAAACCAAATGAATCAAACAAATGGATATTATACACTTGATTTTAGGAAAGTGGTAGGAAGCTTCCCCTTAGTTTTCTTCCCCCCTTATTTATTTCGGCCAAGGGCCTTGTAATGCAGCACCATATTGTATTTTTATTCTCTTTACTCCTTGAGTAAAATATTTGAATTAGTGTGAAGCTAGTTCTCCCCATTTCCTAATGAAATATCTCTAAAATTGACTACTTTTGAGTGTGTATTAGGAGTCTATTTCATATAATAGTAGTGATTATTATTGTGTGAAAAGAAGTAGCCCCAAATAAAATAAGAGTGTGTATCTCTCCCTTTTATTTGGTTGATCCCTTCTTAAACAAAACCCAAAAGAACTCCCTCTTTCTCCTTCCCCTCTCACCCATTTTGGCCAAGCCATCCTCCCACACATATCCCTCATTCTCTCCTCTTAAAATACACCTCTCTCTCCTTCCCTTTCCTTACATATTTTGGCCACACCCTTCACCTTTCATTCCCTAATATCTTCACTCCTCTTAGTCCCTTAATATATCCTTTTCTCCCCTCATATTTCCTCTTACAATCTGCCCTCTCAAAATCTCTAAGTCTTTCATAGCTTGGGTACATCACGACGCTCAGAAGTCCTTTGAAGACACAAACAACAAATGACAGTTTTCCAAGAGGGAAGTCGAGAGACAGAGCATCGGTGGAGGCCTTTTCAAATCCCGGTATGCAAAGATGGATTTGACGCATCTGGCCCGATTATCGAGTTTAAAAGTTGCAGGAAAAGAAACCTTCCAACAAAAATTCCAGACAATGAGCAAATTGATATGATCTTCTGTCATTCTTGAGGTTGCTCAACTATGGTTAGATGAGATGCAGGAGGATGAGAAGGATGTCAACTGGTCTCACTTCAACGCACTGTGTATAGAGCGGTTTGGTCCCACTGTGAACATTGACCTACTACGGGAACTAAAATTCCTCGTGCAATAGGAACAGTAGAGGTTGTCCCTGTACGAGAGAGCATTGGCAGGCACTACCGGAGTTCAACCCCAATGACTATGTGGATATCCAATTGCCCAAGCCACCTAGCCTTGGATACAACATGAGTCTGGCCTGAGCACTAGACAACACTCTCTCTCTCTCAGAGGTGAGAAGGTACAGGACACAAGAACCCAAAGGCTGATGAAACCGTTATACGCACACTATCTAAGGCCGAGATGGGCGATCAGCATGCATGTGATCTTTGCTACAATGGTGATGACCACTGGAATACGACGCATACATGCAAGTGGTTGTTCTACATAACAGTCAAGGATGACTACGAGACAAAGGAAGGCCCACCGAACACAAAGCCAAGGTTGTGCATCTGCCACTTGAGACAAGCTCAATTTTGAGGAAAGGATTGATGATATGGTTTTGGTCTTACATTAATCTACAGTTTATGGTATTGAACATCATTAATATACACTTTATAAATTGTCAACAATAATCCCTACTTACAAGAACACAAACTATCACTTTGACTCGCATAAATTTGGCGACGACGTAGGCACATAGTATCATAGCTTGTATATGAGCATAATGGATGTTTCTAAGGGCTTTCTTTGAGTGTTTGAGACGTTTTGGAAGCGGTTCCAACATCTTTCTTTCAAATGTGTAGTGTTTCCTTAGCTATTCGTGCAACTTATTATTCACTTTTGGAGGCTGATTTAGAGGCCAAAACCTTTCATATAGTGTGGGACAACATTTGGGTGGTGATTGCCAATTGTTGGGAGAGCGTGGAAGGAATATCAAAAACTACACGTTCACACCAAATTTCAAACAGAGCTAATTCCACAATAGATTATAACTATTCTTACCGTCATGAGTAGAAATTATTGTTGAATGTTAATTTTCAAAGTGTGGATTATATTGATATCCAATGCCAAAATGTAAAAGCTTGTCATACCACGTATTATTATAGTCGAAAAACCCTTATTAATAGGGCTTTTGGCTTACAATAATTTGTATTACTCCCTATGGCCCACTATATTCGTCCAATTTGACTTTTTCAAGGCAAACAAGACAATCATTAATAATCAATTACTCTCAATATCAATTGAATACTAGTACAATAAAAGAAATTTTTGAAAATTCTCAATAACAACAATAACAACCCAGTTGAATCCCACAATATGGGGAGGGCGAGTAAGTAGAGAGGCTGTTTCTAAGAGACCCCCAGCTCAGCATCGAAAGTTGCATTGATTGACTAACTGATACTTCATTAATTAAACAAGAGCAGACATTTTAGAGATCCATTTTGCTTTATCCCATCACACCCCAAAGCCAAAAAATAGTGTATTTTTGGCTCCATCAAAGATGATGGAGGAAATTCTCAATAAGATGAATCTAATTAAATAATTTATATAGTAATATACATTATCGTTTTAATTTAATTGAGGTCCAAAGTTTGTCTAGTTTGACTCAAAAAAGTCAAATATGACGGAGGAGTGTAACTTAGTGTTGTGGTCAAACTCTTCTAGCATGGAGTTTGCCTATTTATATCTTTTATTAAATTAAAATAATCATCTTTAAAGCAAACCTAAATTACTAACAGTCTTGTTTCCCTCTTAATGCCACAGACAAAAGATCAACCCTCAATACTTGTCTTTGGACGAGATCAATGAGCTAAGAACTTAATTGTGGCGGAAATTGTTGTATCCCTGGTCGGCTCCATTAAAACCCAAACTCTCCCAACATATCCAAAAGTTTTCTTTCCTTTCTTTTATCAAAAATAAAGTCTTTTCCATCAAAATGAGAAGAAAATAAAAGCCAAAACCTTTGTTTCTTGTTTTTATCTTTTAAAACCTTTGTTTCTTTTCAAATCATTTTTACCCAAATTATGCCTTTCCCACTTTTTCTTCCAACCTTGATTCTGAAGCCCTGAATAATCGATTATACATAAATGATAATCGACTATTATAGCTCTCTGATTCTTCTTCAAAATCTGCAACCTCACATAATCGATTATTTTACATGTAATAATCGATTATCTCTATTCTCTGAAAGTATCCAGCTTTGAGCAAGCCCTTGATAATCGATTGTCCTTGTCAATCGACTATTTGGTTTCTCTGAACATTTCCGGATTGAAACCAAATCTTGTGAATCGATTATCCAGAGATATTAATCGATTAGCTTACATCTCTGAACCTTGAAGTCCTGAAGTTTTTCAATTCCTGTTTGCCTTTTCTAAGCTTGGGTACAAGGCTGAAATTATTCCCTGAATTTCAACAAAGAATAAAGCCTTTTCTTTCCTAAAATAAAAGCATAATCACTTTTGATACAAAGGGACAAAATCACAAACAAAGTCATTGAATGAATAGTACTGTTTTGGCATTTTATAGCTCAAATGTCTAAAGCTTGATTTCCCTTTGTTTTCTTCTTTATATGCACGAAATTTGTCCCCAAATAAACCCAAGGAAGATCAGCCCAAAAATCTGGAGAAGCAACTTGGAAAATCAGCTCACATGGATGGTCTTTAATCTTTGATTTTGCAGGAAGGAAGTAGGAAGTTTCCTTTATTGTATTTTTCCTTATTTGTTGTTGTATAAATACTTCAGCCATGAGGCCATTGTAAGAGAACCAAATCATTGAATTAAAAGCCTTTGTTTTACTCTTTGAGTAATTCTTTAAAATAGTGTGATGCTATTTTAGCCAAATTCCTAATTCTATATCTTAAGGATGGTTACCTTAAGTGTGAGTTTTAGGTTCTAGTTATTTAAATAAGTGCGTTATATCTTATTTGAATACTAGATTCAACCCCAAGTTAGGATAAGAGTGTGTAATATCTCTTAACACCTACTTGGCTTATCCAACACTTATTCCTATCCATTTCTAATCCCACCATTTCTCTCCTGATCCTCCCTCCTTTCCTCATATTAAAAACCATAAAAAGAACTCTTTCACACTCCATTTATTTCGCCCCTTGCTTCCCTTCAACAACTTATCACATTTCCTCTCCGAAAACCACAATTCTGTTAAGACCCCTACTTCGATATACAACAGAAATCATTTGAGATATAGAGCAGAAACAAAAGTGTTTGGATTGCGAACCAATAGCTCACCATGATATGTAGTGTTGAAAGTCATGCCTCCCTAGACTGTTTTTCCTTCTATCAATCCAATTAATTATATCCTACAGAAATTTGAAAATTAACTTTGAGAGATTATGAAAAAATTGGATACAAATAATGGGAATTTAACTTGTTCGTTCCAATCAATTACCTGCAACATTTCTATCAAGGGCTTGTAAGTCATTGCATCATTAAGCACAAGTTGCTCTAGCTCAGTCAACAATTCTTCCAAAAGATGAATTCGAAAATTAGTCACATTAAACATCATTTGCTTCTTACTTTCAATGAAGTTTTGGGTAGTAAGTGCGGCAATGCATTTAATACCAAAAGCCAAGGCCCCCAACAAAAATGAGATTATAATGGATTTTGTTATTGTGAAATATTCAAGAAATTAAATCTCAAACATTTGGAGGCAATAAACATAACAAAAACAAAGAAAAATGACTTTGTGCTCACGAAACAAGACATCTTCCTCTACATCTATGCTACCAGCATCTCGGGAGATATCTTCCATATTGCTGCACATATCAAGAATAGATAAAGTCAAAGAAATTGGGAGGCATACTCATCACAAAAAGTAATCATTTGCAATGATTATATGGCCTCCACCTAGATAAATTATTTTGTAGAGTATGTTACTTATCTAGTTAGCCCCCTAAAAATTATAGCAAACACTTCAACAAGCATTAAAGTTTGTGACATAGCACATAACATATAAGTCAAGAAACTTGTATTACATTGTCGCATGAATGCATCCGATATTTTTAGTTACTAGGTGCATTTTCCATAAAGAACTTGTTGTATACTAACTACACCAAGTAAATGTGTAAATACCAATACATACTGGGCTTCATCGAGAATAATAATTGCCCCATTGATATCCAAATCCATTGCTTTCCGAATAACTGGGTTAATGATATAGCTGTATGGGCAGAAAACCAGCTCCGCGTTTTCAGCCATTGCTTGTGCGGCAAAATATGAGCATCCTGAATAACGGTGGAGTATATGAATAGTTATTTTATATCAGAAAATGAAAGCAAGGTCATATATGCAATGTATAACCTCCAACAACTTGTCCAACTTTGACAAGGTCTTCAATATCATGAACCTCATTGCAACCTCCTTTCTCAAGAGATGGATGGCATTTGACCTTATGAGCATTTCTGTCAAGATAGAGGCAGTTAAGTCCTCTTGTTTTCTTCCATAGGATCAGAACAGTAATGTACTAATATCAATATGAATAATGACTCACTTGAACTCATTGCAGCCTACATCTTTTTCTTTTAACAGTGACTTGCTGGAATTTTCAATCGTGCACATAGTCATGCAAGGAAACAAATGACAACAGAAATAAGGGAACAATATATAGCACAATAAGAAGATAAAAATTGTGGGAAATCACCATTTTTCATCAACATTGTCCATCCCACGGTATTTCATATTTGTACAATAATTCTTCCGTGAGGCCTGAAAGAGAGGTGGGTACAATCAACTTTATATAAACCTGAAGTGTAGATTGCTTCTTGGGATAAGATAGTGCATATAAGCATGTAAAGATTGATGTTGTGATTAAAAGTCAACTAGAACTGAATACTGAGAACATGATTGATTTCACCAACAAAGGGCATACCAACACAGCCATTGGAACTCGGTATGATGTCTTTCTATACTCTTTGATCACTTGAGAAATTTGTGAATGGGTCCTCCTAATTGCATAGGAATAAAAAGGGTAAATATAATTTTAATTGAAATACAATAGTTAGCAAAAAAAGTTGGCATGCATTCATTTAAAACCTCGTTATTACTTTATTTGAACATATTACAAATACAAAATTTGGATGCTTTCTTCTTCTAACAACAGCCAACCAAGTGTAATCTCATTTTTTTAGGTTTGGAGGGTCAAGATGTACAAAATATGTCCCGTGTAAGAACAAAAAGGCCGTTTTTTGTTAGACAATCGATGCATTTTGTACCCAAAAGTCCGTTGAAAGTTAAAACCAAGAGAAATTAAATGTGTCATTTTGTGTCCATTATTTACGAAAAGCTAAAACATTTTCAGAAATGACTCTTTTAGCCTTGTTGCCAATGGACACCAAATATAATGGACAAAATAACCGGAGTAAAATCTTACAAAGCATAATAAATAGTGGGAGACAACTTCTCCTTCCGTTTTTTCCCAGAAGTCCTCCCAGCAACTGATGGCGCCGGTTCTTGGTTTCCTGCTCAAAATCAACAGCTCCACAACATTGAGACTCAGAGACAAGATAAACTTTGTACCAAAAAAATCCTATGCATGCATACATATACATAGTGTGGAGCTATTTTTGCTCCAATATTTGTTAGGGCAACCTTTTTATTGCTCATAGGGACACTCAATAACCCCGATCTCACACCACTGGGTCATGGTTCACCATCCCAACCCCCAGAAGCATAGGAGTGAGGACAGTGTCAAAACGGTGAATCATTGGTGTGAGATTATGATGGGAATGCTCCTGTTCTTACTAAAAGTGGTGGCCCTAGCAAATGTGAGGTAAAAATAGGGAATGCTTGGGCGAAGCTCGGCCAATGGAGAGCCAATCTAGATCATGCAGACAATGGGTTGCATAACTAGGCCGGATGTGGGCATGGTCCATAATCCCATCAATCAATCTGAACTACATATTGTTCCCAGAAGATAATTGCATTACCTGAGGGTTGAGTTCCGGGAATAAATCCACCACCATGACCAATGGGGTCAGATAGGGCGGCAGGGTCGGGCTTAGAGTGGGTAAGTTTGGAATAAAGATTCTTGGACTTGAAGTTCTGCTTCCAAGCAAGCGTAGAGCAGAGAAGAGAAAGCGACTTTCCTGTGCCCGTAGGGGACTCGAGCAGCGCGTGCGATCGACCTTCCCTATGCGCGCGATCGAGGGTCGAAATAACCCTATTCATAAAAGCCAGCTGAGTACCGTAAGGCGGGAAGGGGAACTCCACGGGAATCCCGCCGATGTGGACCACAGTTTTGGCCGGTGCAGGGTTCCGAATTGCCGGCGGCTTCATTTCTTTTATGTGGCGGAGAAATCTACTCTCGACTACGAGAAGTAATTGCGTACTGCGCACTCGTAGTCACAATTTTTATTCAGCTTTGGGGGGACAACGTCGTGTAGTCTTAGCCGGATTAAATTGAAGTTAAATTTTCCTTTTTAGTATTTGAACTTTTTTATTCCCTAAAAGGACTTAATAATGATCTAGTGGAAGGAATAATGTCCAAAATGCTAGATATTTACTTGAATAATGATTACTTGATAATGACCAAAAGTCCTACATTGAGAAATAAAAACATATGGTCCTATATTGGGAAAGTCATTATGTTTTAATCCTATTTAGGTAAATTTCTCTAAATTGAAATCTGAACATGGGATGGGGTAATTTTTCATGGTGGCGAGAATTTATAAAGAAATACATTTTGTTTAGAATGTGATGAACGGTTTAGAATCTCTACATTCTGTAAAATCAATGAATTGTTTTAAGTTTACGCAGAGTTATATGGATTTTACAGTATTTTTTCAAAGGGATTTTAGAAGATTTTAGTAGATTATTTATAATTCATGGATTATTATTATTTATATATACATTTGAATTATTTTTAAAATTCACACGTTACTCTAACATAAATTATATTTATAAAATTGATCAAAAACTCAAAAAATAATACAATAAAATAAAAATAAATTATTTTTTAAACATTATTATTATTCATAATAAATGCTCTATTTTTCATGTATATCAAATTTTACCAATAAAAAATTAAAGACAACAAAAAAGATAAAAAAGACATTACTCAAAATTCAGAGAAAATTCAAGAATAAAATTATTAAATAATATAGCTCTCTCACCTATCACTTTTTCAATTTATTTATAACCGAGAAAAAAGCACATTTTCTAGTATCTATTAGATAATAACAAAGCATATTTCACAAGCAAATCAGAATATGAGTACGTACCATAAAAACATAATGCAAAACTACATTACGAGTTTATATATACCATAAGAAGATATTAAACCAAATATATTTTAAAACAACTTAATTTTCGATCTCTCGTGCATTGCTATGATTTTCATCTCTCGAATTGATTAAAAATACCAGAATGATTTTTCTCTCCTCACATAAGTAAAAAAAATAAAATTTTGGATAAGCAATACTATGATTCAAAAAAAATTAAAAATTTAAAAATATCCAATGATTATATTCATTTTCATTAATTAAAAAATTAATATAAAAATCAGTGATCCTATGATTTTTAATAAAAATTTACAAAAAAAATTGATAATTTTTTTTGTGTTTTTTCTTTCTATTTGAATACAAAACTATTCATTTGTTTAATTTATTTGATTTAAATATTTAACTATTTAAAAAATAGTCTATTTGTTTGTAGTATTTTAGTGTAGAGATTAAAATGTATTTTTTTATATTTTATTTTATATCAATATTTAAATAAATAAAATCAAAACTAACTTGATTTAAGAATGTCATAAAAGATATGATTTTTAGAGGTTATGAAAGTGTCTTTTTAAAGGAAGAGAATCTTATTCGTTCATTGATAGTTTTATTATAAATAAAGTTAAAAAATATAAAATTAGAAAAATATATACTAATAAAAGCAATGATCTCTATTCCATAATTAAATTTACTAAACAATGTTGAAATCATGAAGAATGTTAGTTTAAACATTGTATGCCTAGGCAATACATGAAGAGAAAAAATATAAAATTTGGAAAGAATACTATTATAAAAAAGATTTTTCCCACCCGTAATTAAGGACCATTTATGGAATTTTCAATTCAATGTGGGAAGGATTTGGGAGGCGTTAGAAGATATTAGTTGTTAGAAACCGAAAGGAGTTGGAGCACACTAGAAGTTAAGAATTACAAACCCAAGTGAAGAGAGCCTAGATCTAGTCCGGGATTAAGAAAGGAGATGTCTATATAAGCATTACATCTCCACGCCTCTTATTTTGCAACTCGGAAAAGTGTGCCTCGCTAAATATATAGTAAAACATGAAAATTCCTTAATGGTACGTTTGGGAACATGGATTTGGATTTCAAATCCGGATTTGACTTAAATTCCATGTTTGGGAAATCTAAGCATTTTGAATTTGGATTTGAGTCAAATTCTTTACATTCAAAACAATGCTTAATTTGAAATCCATGCACCTCCCCTTGTCATTTGAAATTCAAGATTTCAAATTTTGGAATTGAAATGCATGAATTGAAATGAAATGTTAATTGCCAAACACTACCTACCTAANATTCCTTAATGGTACGTTTGGGAACATGGATTTGGATTTCAAATCCGGATTTGACTTAAATTCCATGTTTGGGAAATCTAAGCATTTTGAATTTGGATTTGAGTCAAATTCTTTACATTCAAAACAATGCTTAATTTGAAATCCATGCACCTCCCCTTGTCATTTGAAATTCAAGATTTCAAATTTTGGAATTGAAATGCATGAATTGAAATGAAATGTTAATTGCCAAACACTACCTACCTAAAGGCTTTTTGGAGTGTTGATTGGAATTTTCAGGCGATCCGTGTGTCTGGACTTCATAAAGGTCGCACCAGTTCATGTTGCTCACATGCTTGGTGTTATCATCTGTCTTTTCCAGATCGTAAGGAACTCACGCTTCAAAGGTATATCTCAATAAACATGTTTCATGGTGAATCATTTGAGGCCTTGGTGGGAATTATATCCGGATATAATACCAATATGCTGTCTTCTTCTACTCTCCACGCGGAAACCTAACCTACCCATGGTCGCTGATTCTTCTCCAAAAATATAATCCGTGTGATCTCTTCGCCGTCGAAGGAAAGGAATTGTATAGCTACTCTATCAATGCAGGAAAGCCTCCAATTGTGTGAAAAAAGGTATTTCGGATCTAAAATTTTTGAAGCGTCAAAACGAGGTATGTTTCCAAAAATCATATTCATCAATTATTCAAGAATTGAGAGGAATTAATTTTACATCGCTGCTAGCTCTTTAATCTATGTTCAATCTCGGTTAGAATGGTACAAAGACGAGAATTCCAAATTAAACCTCCATGCCTTGAAGCTGAAATTGGAGCAGAAAACTGTTGCTGTGCACTGCACAAATGATATGCTTTTGCTCTCAATGAAGAAGCTGTTTGGTTTCTCTTTGCAATGTTTGTGTTAGGAGTAATATTTATTGGTGAGTTATTTCCCATATATTATTGCAACAATATGTTTGAGTACATTGATTCTACTGATAGTTGTTTTGTATTGTGTTTGGATGTGCTTCTTTTATCCTCTAGGGCAGAGAATGCCTTGACTTTTTGGGAAAACAAAGTTTCTACACTAAGATTGATGGTTTTGAGGTATGCTTTGACTCTAGGTATGTCTTATTTTTGGGATAAAGAAAATATTTTTTTATATAAATTCTGATTATAAATTTATTTTTTATTATTTTATTGTTTGGTGCATTGGACAAACAAAATATTTTTTAGCTAAAAATATATATGTTTTGAGCAAATAAAGATGCACACTAAGCTCAAGTGTTCAACAAACTAAGTAAATACTACAGTATTATTATTCTTCCTTAAATAGGAGTTGCTTCTACCAAATTGGACAATCTGGCAGAGACATCCTTCATATCCGGGTGTGCATTTTTATCCTTACTCAGACATTGCAGTGCTTCTGTGATGCTAAAAGCAAGTTCGTTGTTACTTGCAAAAGTGATTTTTTGACTATCGATCTTTTCCCTGCTTTGAGATGCTCCAGAGCCCAATTGTGGGGTGCCAAGTCTTCCTCTTCGTGGCGGTTGCCAAGCAACTCCACAAGTAGACCACCAAATACGTAAACGTCGGCTTTTAAAGTCCGAATACCTGCAACATTGAAGGATCATAAGCCATACCCTGATGCAATGTTCTATTTATCACACACAATCTTACAAATTAAAAGATGAGGATAGATGATCTCAATATTAGATTAATTTACTCTCACTATATGATTGCCCTTAATGTGTACGAGTAAAAGTCGTTTGTCCATCCTCTAGCTGAAACATTTAAGTCGTCTATCAGTTTACTTAGTTCTTCCAATTTATATGCAAACGATACCTGTTTCTAGCTGCAAATGTATCATTTTGTGATGTTCATATGCACTTGAATTTTTCACTGTTGCAAATAAAACATATGGATTGCATAATATGGTTGAACGGNCTCACTGACCTTTTGGCTAGCCATAACACAAGAATATGATTATGCCATTTAGTACTTTTTGGTTTTTTAGTGCAAAATCAGCAATGCACTCTTCCAGGTATGTCCTTTGCATTTTAGTCATAAACATGAACATGGAAATTAGTCTTTTTTTAACTAAAAATTCAAAAGTAAAAAAGGAGAATAATAATATTTTGCAAATAGTTTGTCTTCTATGTGTGTATATCTTAATTTTCCCAAAGATGAGAACTCCTACTTTTCTTTTTTATCTTATTTTTGACACTTAAAAAAACACATTATAGGTGCCCATACATGTGCTCAAATTTTGACTAGGCTGTGTTTGGTTGGAACTAGACTTGAGTTTAATAAATTTAGATGTTGGTAAGAATGTGTTTTGGTTTGTTTGGCTATTGGTTGGCAGTTTTCGCTTTAATCATTATTTTGGATTGAGATATTTGGTGTTGTTTGGATTAATGTGATCATGTCTTTATGAGTTTGATTCATGTGCTCTCTCCTATCAGCATGCTACACTTCTCACTGACCTTTTGGCTAGCCATAACACAAGAATATGATTATGCCATTTAGTACTTTTTGGTTTTTTAGTGCAAAATCAGCAATGCACTCTTCCAGGTATGTCCTTTGCATTTTAGTCATAAACATGAACATGGAAATTACTCTTTTTTTAACTAAAAATTCAAAAGTAAAAAAGGAGAATAATAATATTTTGCAAATAGTTTGTCTTCTATGTGTGTATATCTTAATTCTCCCAAAGATGAGAACTCCTACTTTTCTTTTTTATCTTATTTTTGACACTTAAAAAAAATACATTATAGGTGCCCATACCTATGCTCAAATTTTGACTAGGCTATGTTTGGTTGGAACTAGACTTGAGTTTAATAAATTTAGATGTTGGTAAGAATGTGTTTTGGTTTGTTTGGCTATTGGTTGGCAGTTTTCGCTTTAATCATTATTTTGGATTGAGATATTTGGTGTTGTATGGGAGCTTGGAGCTTGGTTTTAGTGTTGAATTTTTTTCTTTTTTCTTTTCTTTTCAATGGGACTTTGATTGAGTCATCACATGTGTGCACGTGTGGTGTCTTCATCGCTGAGTTTTTTTCTTCCCCAATTATGCACCTCTTCATAGGAAAGTATCCCAAACGGATTCTTCTTCGCATACGGATTACATTGGAGACACCCAAACTAACCATGGAATTATCATCGTACATGACTCTTGGTAGGTCGTCTCAGCCTCAACTGCTTAAGTTCTCACGTAAAAATGTTGTAAGTACTGGCCATAATGATTTTCTTGATACAAATAGATAAAGGGACATTGTTACATTCAAGGAGTGCAATGAGGTATATTTGATACTACTAATAATTCCATTCATATAGTTCTTTTACATATTATAAATTGTGTGCTTTTTTCATTAAATACTTTATATTATTATGTGAGTTTTGTGATGCATACTAATATATAATAAATTTTAAAAAAGGATGGATCCTATGTGGTGTACGGGACTATCGTGGCAGTGAACAATATAATGACTCTGATTGGTGGTATTTATTATGTAGTTAAACCTAATGGTGCATGTATTATTGCGTGCATTGCTCATGACGTGTGTTTAACGTCACCTTGAGGTTTAATTTTAATCTTTGTTCCAACTTTTATATTTGCACTCCTAGGTTTATAATTCAAAGTAAAATTGATTACGGATTTTATGCATTATAGGTATCTTATCACGCTCTCTGTTAAAGATGATTTTGGAACTATGTTTGTCTTATTTGACCATGAGGCCTCCTGTATTTTAAGTACACCATGTGACCAATTGATGGATAAAAGTGACGCGGTATGTACTCTTTCTTCTAATTGAATAGTTAATTTGATCACAAGCGAAGGAAGAATTTATTTAAAATCACTTTTTTATTCAACTAAATCTGATTGGGAGTATATTGAGTCAACGACTGCTCTTTAAGTATATGACCTTTCACTAAATACCCCGGAGTAGTATTTAGTTTTGAAGTTTGCACATGTTTTGTATACCTGAACACAATGTCTCATTCTTCTGACAAGCTTGGTTAGTGCTCAACATAATATATTATCCACCATATAGACATATCACTTATTTTGGCCGAAATAAAGAAAGAAAACAACTTGCCACCACAAACACTATAAATTTTCACATGATTCATTAAATGCCTTATTTGTTTGACAAAATAGAACACAAAGAGATGAAAATGTACTATCATCACATTCATCAAATAATGCTTTACCCCAGTACATATTTATTTATGCCTCTCTGTTACCTGTTTAATTATATGAGGATACAATAAGTGGACGATATGTTTATGCAATTATCTTCATTTCCTTCTCTTTTTTATCCATAAGAACATACCTTCACCACTATATGACCTTTCAGGCTTTCACAGAATAATATTCACTTTTAAACAATACACCCATCTCTTGATTAAAAAAATTGCATTTTTAATTTTTGACTTTTTTTTTGCATTTTTAATTTGACAAAGATAAGTATTTTCGAATTACATGGAAACAGAGATTCGGCATGTGTCATTGAAAAGTTAATTTATTATGAGTTCATTTTAAACACCAGGTAAACAATTGACAATTAATTTTATCATCTTAGCTTCACTTTACTCCCAACTTGAATCGAGGGAAATAAAACTTCCTAATGAATTTCAGCTTTGCTTTTTAACACAACATCTGTCTTATTATACTAATGTATACATAAAATTTCTCAGGTGGAAGTTTTNATTGAAAAGTTAATTTATTATGAGTTCATTTTAAACACCAGGTAAACAATTGACAATTAATTTTATCATCTTAGCTTCACTTTACTCCCAACTTGAATCGAGGGAAATAAAACTTCCTAATGAATTTCAGCTTTGCTTTTTAACACAACATCTGTCTTATTATACTAATGTATACATAAAATTTCTCAGGTGGAAGTTTTGAGAGACCAAAGGAGTTTGATGACCTTGGGAAGACCTATCTTTTTAGGATTGAGGTGAGGACGGTGTTTTGAAATCACCATGAACAAACTTTGAGTGTCCAAAATCTGTCACGATGATACCTCCATAAAAAAATACATGGAGTCTATTCGAGCAAAAATAAAGATTTGGCACTTTCTTTATGATTTACTCTTAGAGAAATTTACCTAAATAGGAGTATAGGACTAAAACATAAAGACTTTCCCAATATAGGACCATATGTTTTTATTTCCCAATGTAGGATTTTTGGTCATTATCAAGTAGTCATTATTCAACTAAATGTCCATCATTACTAGACATTATTCCTTCCACTAGGTCATTATTAAGTCATATTTAGAGAATAAAAAAGTTTAAGTCCTACATTAGGAAAGTTATTATGTTTTAGTCCTATTTAGTGCAAATTTCACTTACTCTTATTTACGGTGATTGCTTTATAAAGATTTGCATCATTCATAAAGGAATTTGTTTTCTTTGTGAAAAATAATTTCAAATTTTTGTGCAAATAATAACTAATGATGTACATAATTTTTTAAAATAAGAAACTTATATCTTTCTTCTTATATGGATTTCCATTAATGTATACAAAATTTCACCCAAATGACAATGATAAATTTTTAAAGATCCTTTCAGTTGTTTATTGTATTAAAAATACTTTGTCGAGTAGACTTTTAGTTCTTCAAAAATTATTTATTCTACTTTGGGTTGTCTATAGTAATAAAGATTGTGTGAGAAATATATTTACTTGAATTCGAAAAAATATTGCATTGAGAAAAATAAGAATAAAAAAATGTTCGATGGAATACACAAGTTTTTTTTTTATTCGATACTCAAAGTCAGAAATTCAAAGCTCGAAAAGGATATTGATATAATTGGTGATGTTAAAAATCACAAATTCTTGACTCTCGACCCAAGTTATTCCCACATGAGTATAATGAATTTCACTTATCCAAACATATTGAAGAATATAAAAAATAATTCATTTTTTAAGACATGGCACTATTGGCACGCACTCTCAAAGTTGTTAAAATGTTAAATAATTTTTTTTTCCCTCATTCTCGGTGATGAAAAGAAGTACTTATGATTTTTTATGCCAACGATATGCAAATATAGGTGTTGGTGATACTCGATAACACTTGATTTTTGAATTAAATTAAATGTTTGAAGATCCTAAACCACAAAATAATTTTGAAAAGGGAGAATCGATTATGTTGTTGAGGAATATTAATCAAACATCTAAATTTTGTAATTATATGAGATTAATCATTAAAGTATTGTGAAACAACGTTATCAGTGGCAATTTTTATTTTGAGAAATTGAGTTGGAGATCCTGAATGAACTTGGTATGGTTTGACTCCGGACTACCTCTGAAATTCTAGAGAAAAAAATTCAAAAAGTCTTATATTTCGTTATAATTATTAACAAAAGTCAAGAACAAAATTATCCTTTGTTGGATTATCTTTATCCAAGTCAGTATTCACTCATGATTAATTTAATATTGTTATTTCATTAATGATGAAAAATGGATAATTAAAAATATTAGTTCTAGATGACAATGGAAACTCGTGCAACTATACAAAAATGTTTGTGTACTCTGAAGTTTTTGAAAAAAATTGAAATTAAAAAAACTTTATTGTTAACATATTTAAATCTCTATATTATTAAAAAATCATGTTTAAAATATTATTCCTAAAAATATTTTATACAAAAGTTTAGAATCAACAAAAACTTTTGTTCCACCCGTGCGTTGCACGGGTTAAAATACTAGTTATCATTAAAATGAATGTTTCTTTTCCATATTTAAATTTATTCAAAGATACAATACCAAAATATTGATTTCACATTTAATATATCTTAAATTAAGTGGCCTATTAGATTATTAGTTGTCAAAATAAATATAAAATTTATTTATATGTTTAGAAAGCATTTTACTTATTTGGTGTCAACATTTAAATAAATATAATCAAATTAATTTCATGTAAATGTATAATAAACAATTATAAAATTTATTTATAGGTGAAGAGGGCATTTTATTTATTATTCTAAAAATTTTTTATAATTGAAGAGGAAAAAAATTAAGAATTTGAAAAGAATATTATTATAAAAAAGATGATTTTTCTCATATTTAAATTTACTCAAAATTTCTTACCAACATTAGAATTTTACACTTTCCATATAAAAAATTACGTGACATATTTGGTGTTAGAAAAGGCAACATAAAAATAATTTTCGTTTCTTTTTATTCAATTATAAATTGGGGGTATGTCATCTCCTAACAATGCCAAGTGTTAGCTTCTTAGAGTTTGGAGTTTTAAATTTATATATAAAGGATTTATAGAAGTATTTTAAAATATTGAAGACCATTTATTTAAATCTTAGAATTGGAGACTAAATATGAAAAATCACTTATGATTAGAGACCAATTATAGAATTTATTTTCAAGATTATATTTTTATTTCTATCTTTGTACTATAATATTATTCATCAATTATACTCCGTAATAATTATTACTATCATATATAAAATTAGTGTGTTAATCATGAATTTTATTTTTATTCCTATTAGTACTTTTTATTTATCTTCCATAGATATTCTGATTATCTTTTTTAACATTTAAAATATCATAGTTATCTCAACTTACTTTATTTATTGCACCTCTACCATTTCATTATATACTCCATGCATTTTCATTAAGATTATTTTAGTAACTTTCATGTTTTATCAAGTCTCCTAAAAATCACAAAAAATCAAAAGGACGAGATCTTAGGGTGGTGGAGGGAGTAGTTAATAATGTTAAAAAAGTAAACAAAAATCCGATAAGGAAAGAATTCCTTAAATCATCAGGTAAAAATTACTTAAATTACACAAGGCAAGAACTATTAAAATCATTGAGTAAAAGTTATGAAAACTACATAATGCAAAAAATTATATTTAAAATTTTAAACTTATATATTCATAACTTAGTAAACAATAAAAGTTGACTTTAAATAAGGCAAAAATTTGGACTTAATCATAATTGAAACTTATATTTAAATTAAAGTACCACCCCAAATTAGCTTTATTATGGCAAAAACATGAACTTTTAATAATGTAACTAAGGCATAAAATAGAAAACACATAATTGTTTTATTAAAGTTATAAAATGAGTAATTATAACTAATAAAAATGTAATAACAAAATTAAATATAATTATTAACACATCCTCTAAAAATGACATGACATGCTGACATGCCAAATTGTCGAATTACGTAGTCTCAAACATTACACTAAAGATACTCCCTATAACATTTGATCCTGGCCTAGCCTCCTTCTCCGTTTCAGCTCGTCCATTCTCTCAGTTTAGACTGTTTTCTCTGTCATTTACGCCCGTGTTTCAGTCATTTCTAGGGTTCTTCGCCCCTGGATAGTACCAGGACCCTTGTGCCCCGGCCCTTGATCATACTCCATTTTCAACCAAATCTGGAATATTTAAAGCAGACAAAGTTGGGTGATGGTTGGATTCATTTGCGTTATTCTAACAGCTTTTTGAATTTATGCCGGGTGCCCGGGTGTGATGATAAATACGAATTTGTTGCTTTGATGCGGTAGTAATCAAAGGAGCGAGTCGAAGAAGAATGGCAGGGCAGAATCCAAGTACGGAGCAATTTGAAGTCTACTTCCAGAGAGCAGATCTGGATCGGGATGGTAGGATCAGTGGAGCTGAAGCTGTTGCTTTTCTCCAAGGCTCCAATCTACCGAAACAGGTTCTAGCTCAGGTGATCTCAAATTCACTTCACGTCAATAGTTTAATCATTTTGGTGATCTTCCTCATTTTGATGAAACTGTAAGGTCTAACCTCCTCATGAAGGCTTAGTTGCTCGTCACTCTTTATCTTTATTTGTGTAGCTTGAGTTTCCAATTTGGAAGAGTCTATTCATACATGAATTGGAGTCTGTTTGGCATTAGTTTAGCTATCATTTTTCAAGAAAGCTATCTAACGTTTGAGTTAGAGTCGGTTTGGAATTACCTTACTATAGTAATAATGGGAGAGTTATAATAGAGTCAAATACCATACTAGTGATTAAGAGGGAAAGTGAAGAGGGTCCTTGTCTAAATATGGAGCAAATAAGTGAAAATGATGCATTTGGCCCATGAACTATTAGAGATGATCTAGTTTTACACCTCTAATCAGAACCAATGCCAGGAGCTTATGATGGACTTCCTGTACTTTTTAATATTTTTTTACTTGTCCAGATTTAGCTGCCCACTTTTTAAAATATGTCATTTTCTAGGAATGAGTGTAAAATATGAAATAAGTTCTTGAAGAGTTGAAGTGATTCAATAATGGCAACAATGCTCGTATGCTATCTCTACCGTATATTAGATAATTCATCATAATTTCTTTTTTTAATAGGAAAAGTTGACAATTAATTGTGGACAAACAAAAACAAGAAAGTGGAAAACTAAATTTGGATGGAGGGAGTATTTGTTACTGGCAAGGTGTGGAAGTTCAAGGATGTCTTAGTTGGACTATTAAGGGTTCTGTGTGTACAACTGGTTTACCTTTTTATTACTTTGATCATGAATATCCATTGATTCCATTCCTTGGGATTTTTATAGGTTAAAATGTTAAATTTTCCTTAGTACTTATGACTAAGGAGAAATCAAAGATACCATCTTCATGCACAATTTTCTATTCTAATTTCTAATCATGCAATATAAGATATTCTAATTTTTAAAAAATAACAATTATGTAATCTCCTTGGTTGTAGGTATGGATGCATGCTGATCAGAGCCATAGTGGCTTTCTGAGTCGTGGGGAGTTTTATAATGCTCTGAAATTAGTGACAGTGGCACAAAGCAAGCGAGACTTAACACCAGACATTGTCAAGGCGGCATTGTATGGTCCTGCTTCATCTAAAATTCCAGCTCCACAAATAAATGTTGCAGCTATACCTGCACCACAATCAAATTCTGTTGGTGCTGCACCTACACCTCATTCAACTTCTGCTGGTGCTACATCTGTTCAACATATGAGAATGGTTGGACCTCAGATGGGTCCTGTTACGCCGACTGCCTCTCAACACTTTGGGTTCAGAGGGCAGGCACCACATAATCAGCAGTACCTCCTATCTCACGGTAGCCATCCAATAAGACCTCATCTCACTGCAACTTCCGCTGGTATGCTGCAACCTCAGCATGGTGTTGCCACTGTAGATTTCCCCAAGGGTGGCGGTGCAGTCACTTCTGCCCCTGTTACCCCGCATGGTGTTTCTTCTGGGATCACAAGGGAATCACCTACACCTACACCTGATAGAGGGATTAGTCCACCAACAACTGCTCTAGTTGCATCAAGATCCCTGGACTCACTGTCAGCTTCTATCTTTACAGCAGCCANGATCCATCCGCACAAGCATGCTTCAGACTCAATGTTCGGAGGAGAAACCTTTTCCGCATCTAAAAATCTACAGAGGCAGGGGTCTGATCCTACCATTTCAGCAAGTAGTGTACCTCCTTCCACTACCCTGGCCCATGTTACTCCCAGGTCAATGTCTTCTGGTAAGGCTGACCCTTTTGAGGAATTGCAAAGAACTCTTACGAGGCCATCTACTGGCAGTCCGCAACAGTTAATTCAAACAACAACAAAGGACAGCCAACAACTTCCTGCCCAAACAGTAGCACCACTTCCATCGCCTGTAATTTCAGCAGGCACATTGAATTCTACTATAGAACAGATACATGCATCTTGGCCAAAAATGACTCCGGCTGGTGTTAAGAAGTATGCAAAAGTGTTCATGGAAGTGGACACTGACAGAGATGGAAGAATCACAGGAGAACAGGCACGGAATTTGTTTTTGAGCTGGAGGTTGCCAAGAGGTATGGATTTTGCATGTTTGTTACTGTATGAACAGTTCCGCATGTCACAGCTTAATATAATCTTGTCTTACAATCGAACCAAAAGCAGTCCGGATTATTCAAGAATTGAAGTCTATTTGCTTTATAAAAAGAATATATTAATGAACTTCTTTGAAATTGATTCGCGGGGTTCAACCAATTTTCTTGATCGTGGAAGATTTTTAAAAAATTGGAATCCTTGCCCATGACCTTTTCCCACATTTTTTGTGAAGTTTTTCATTGCAATTTATCATGGAATAGAGACTGTGTTTTGTCTTTTGGATTGTCAAGTAAATCATAGATTTCTTGTGAACAACCTTCACTCTTTTAATATTTGTTTTCCAGGAAAAAATCGATCATTTGGTCTAGGTTTTTATGAATCTCATTTATCTATCAAACCATGCTCAGTTGCATAGCTCTATGTTTCCCAGAGGTCTTAAAGCAGGTCTGGGATTTGGCTGATCAAGATAATGATAGCATGCTATCTTTGATGGAGTTTTGCATTGCTCTCTATTTAATGGAGCGATACAGGGAAGGCCGTTCTATCCCATCAGCACTTCCAAATAGTGTATTGTGTGATGAGACTCTGATATCCTTGGCTGGTCCTACATCTCTATCTCATGGAACTGCTGGCTGGGGTGAAACACCTGGTATCAATTACCTGTTAAAGTAATCTCAAAATGATTTATCTTTCATGTGGTTGGTAACTTGTAATTTACATAATCTGTATGGATAATTATAGGCTTGAGGCCTCATCAAGTGTTGCCTGGTTCACAGCCTCACATGCATACTGGTCTAAGTCCTCAGAAGCAGGATGTGGCTCCTCAACCTCACGGATCATCACAATTCAATAAGCGAAACGTAAAATCTTTATCCATGCAGAACAGTATTCCAAATCAGTTAACTAGTGGGGAGCAGAACTCATTCGAGTCAAAAGGAGGAGTGGAAGAAGATATGAAGGTATACTTCCTCTTGGGGAATGATTGGAAATCATCTGTATTATTGTCAACATGAAAGTCAGAAAACTTTATTCTTAACATTATTTTATGGGTGATAAGTTCACATTTCTTTTCAACAAAAATGCATACATAGTAGTTTTGTTACTTTGGTTAATGGAAGGTTGGGGATAAGGAGAAGGCTATTTTGGATTCCAGAGATAAACTCGAATACTATAGGACAAAAATGCAGGACCTTGTAAGTGTTCTCCTTGTGCAACTGTTTAAATTTCCATGTTGCATTTTTTGTCTTCTTCCTATTTTTGTTTTACTCTTTAAACCAGTACTTGTTTTCCATATTAGGTTCTCTACAAGAGTAGATGTGATAACCGGCTCAATGAGATAATGGAAAGAGCTTTAGCTGATACACGAGAGGTATACTTTTGCAAGCATTGAGTATTGTGCGTTCATGTGTATATTTCCTTCTTTCTCCCTAGCCACATTTCTTTTTCCTTCTTATTCATAGTTCTTTCCCTACTTTAGGCTGAGTTGCTCCAAAAGAAATATGAAGAGAAGTACAAGCAAGTTGCAGAAGTTGCTTCTAAATTAACAATCGAGGAGGCTTCTTTTCGTCACATCCAGGTAACACACTGTAGTATTATACACACTAATTCAGTGTTTTGCAATTTTATTTTGAACTTGTTTTGATTTGGAGTTTACGTAGCTGGATCTTATTATTTTGAGACTTAGCGTATTAACTTATTAGTTGGGATGAATTATGACTTTATTTTAAAGTTAAGTTGTTATATAGAGGTAAATCTTAAACATTTTACGTACTAGCTATGGGGCTAAGATCTTTCTATCCGAGTTATGATTCACGGGTTACAATCTTCCACCCTCTTGTGATCCTAACTAGGATCTCATGTCTAACAACCTTGGTGTACATGTTCTGATAATGCGACGATGTTTGTATTCTACAACACCATTGTGTTGATGTGTGTTGGGACACTTGATTGATGTAGTATACCACAAGATGCCATTAATGAAGCAATAGGATTAGAAAAATATTCCTTAGCATTGTCATTATGGGTCCGTTCAATAGCACTTATTTGAACTGAATTAAATGGTATTGAAATGAACTGAATTGATTGCAATATAATTTTGGACTACACAATACTGAACTGAATGACACTGAATTGAATAGTATTGAAATTCTGAAAGGTAGTGCTATTGAATGGCCTTTATGTGTGATTTAACAGGGAAGATCCAAATTGAGTATTAATTTAGAACAAAATTTAACAATACTGAACTGAATGACACTGAATTGAATAGTATTGAAATTTTGAAAGGTAGTGCTATTGAATGGTCTTTATGTGTGATTTAACAGGGAAGATCCAAATTGAGTATTAATTTAGAAAAGAATTCTTTCATTACAGATATCAAATGTAAAAAACATCAAATGAACAACATGAGTACATAGTTTGTAAGGCGTCGCCTAGGCGATAAGGCGTTTTCCCTTGGATGCCTAGCCTGCTCACCTTGCCCAGAAAGCCTTAAGGCGTTCATGCGCTCGCCTAGGTGTTGCCTTACCTCGCCTTACGGTCGCCTCTCGCCATGAGTCTATGGATACAAATAATGATATCCATATGAATGACCTATTCAATGATTTTTTTAGACTTGCATGTTTGGGTCATTAAACCAGTGGGGTGGAGGTGATCTTTTTATGAATTATGTTGTTATTTGTGGTCTTCTAAATGCTTGGGAACACTTCTTTCTTTTTTAGATTATGTGTAGGCTTTTATTTCTTATGTTGTGCCTTATATCTCTTTGTGGTTAAGTGGTTCTATTATGCATAAGTGTGTGTGTGTGCGCACACACATACACAGTCGCCTAGGTGATATGAAGTTACATTGGTGCCTTAACAACCTTGCATGAGTAATCATCAATGGAAGTATCAAAGTATCTAATATGTGAAATAGAAGTTTCTTGACTAGGACCTTTTGCATATTCAAAGAGATCCCTGAGATTGATGATGTATCCCTCTCTTGCCCGTGATTAGATGAGTAAGAACATTGGATCTTATAGTCAGTGACTAATTACAAAGATTTGTTTAATTTCTTCAATGATGATTTTATTAATTAGTATAACTCCTCTTTTTATACTACTCCCAAGCATCTTGGTGTGCAAGTAAATAGATTTCTTACCTAATACAATAATGCTATCGAGAATATTAAACTAAAATAAAATACTAACGATAACACAAAACTATCTTATACGAAACTGCTACTGCTTAATAATAATATGAAACTATTACTTATATTACTAAATAATAATAATAATAGTAATAAATTAAATATTAAATCCTTGATTCGTAACATTACTCCCTCCCTCCGAGTTGAGCTTGTGCGCAAGCTCTAGGGAGACGCTATCTTTGCTACCCATTTGATGGGCCTTCCTCTGCTCTAATATCATCAAAGACCACAATAAAATGTAACTGCTTTCCATAGTTTTCAACAGTCTTGATTTGTATCAAGAGCCTCAATTTTCTCACTAGGTCCTTGTCCAAGGCTAGCCTGAAACGATCCATGCAAAGTTCTATAAATAATATCTTGTTCTCTGTGTCTTCTTCCATCATTTCATCCATCCCAAGTTGGGCATCTTCCAAAAAAAGGAAATGAAACAATACCAATATGATCTTCGTAGGAGATTTTTTGTGGTGTGAAAAACTTCTCACTGATTAGATCAGAAATCTCAGGGTAGGTTGGAAATTCTATCTTGGCGCATTGAGGTTGCACAACTCCCTCACACTTGCAAAGATTTCCCGTCTTGAAAATATTATTATCGTGGTATCTGTAGATCTCAAAGTTGTTCGATTCAAGCATGACCTGACCCCCAATGTCTTCCTTGACGATGTGCTATTGTGTAGGGTGGAATCGAACCCCCTCTTGACATTGGTGACCTTTGTTGCCAACAACTTGTAGTTCATCTGTAGGCCTACAGTTATGTAGCCCTACAATTATGTTGACAATGGTAGCGAGCTTGGTGGTGGCTGCCATGAATTCTTGATTTTGGTTGGCCAATTCGTTGAATTCAAAAAGTGCCACAGATTGTCTTGTTATTTCACCAAATTATCAGAGATCCGAAGAGATCCCTGAGATAGACTAATAATCCCTCTCTTGTCCGTGGCAAGAAGATGAAGAAATTCAGATCCTATAAATGGTGACTAATTAGTAAAACTTGTTTAATTTCTTCAAGGGTGATTTTATTAACCAATATAACCCCCCTATTTAGGGAGTGTTTCTCTCTGCTGGTTCTTTTTGGCCTATTGTCCATAAGTAGTTTTAATTTATAAGTTGTTAATTGAAGTATTTTTTTGTAAAATGATTTTAATGAATGATGAGTCATTTGGGGATATTCATAAAAAGTTAGGGATAATATTGCAAATGAATTGGTCAAAACAAAGAAATAAAAAATTAGCTTGAAAATAAGTAGGTAAGACCTTATTTTGTTTGACTTATAAGCAGCTTATAAGTGAGCATATGAGCACATAAAATGGAAACACGTCATCAACTGACTTATAAGTTAAAAACTTGTAAGTAGTTTTGACTTATAACCAGCTTTTAAGTACAGACAAACACCCACTTCTACTACTCCCAAGAGTTTTGGGCCTCTTGGCGAGCAAGTTAATAGAGTTCTAACCTAATACAATAGTACTATAAAGAATATTAACTAAAACAAAACACTAATGATAATAGGAATCTATCTAATAAAAAACTATTACTAATAATACGGAGTATTAATAATAATAGGATACTAATACTTATATTACTCTCTGTGACCAATATTTTTTTCTTAAGGTTTGATCCGACGCACACATTTATGCAAGATGAAAATGACATTGACTTTCCTAACATGCCCTTTTAATGAGATAATTGGATGAGATGAAAGGGATGCCAGGTGGTGGATATGAGTTTGGCACGAAGAATATATTACAAGGTAGCACACAGTGACATGGATGTCTCCATCATGCATTCCCATCGGCTGAAAATGAAATAGCGACATGGGGCCGGAAACGAAATTGTGGCATCATTGCAGCCAAACTGAGTTTAACATTTAGCACATCTCTGGTTTTGAGATGTGGCTGGTTTGGGAGAGTTTGAATGAATCAGATTGGGTGAAAGTAGTAAGAGGCTTAGAGATGGCTGATAATAGGGAGGGACACTGAGACTTGACTAAAAGACAAAAATGATTTTGAAGGAGAGGATGTGAGAGGCAAGGTGATGAATATGTATCTAGATAGTGAAGAAGGGTAGAGGTTGAGTTCTAAAAGGGCGGGAACAATGAGGGTGATAAAGATAGCAAGGGAAAATGTGTCTTTACACTATTTTTACTTCGCCATAAAAGGAAATGGGAAAAGAATTTATGGACAGATATAAAAAGAACAACAACAACAATCCAGTTGAATTCCATTTGGGGAGGGTGTACACAGACCTTACCCTTACTCAAAAGTAGAGAGGTTGTTTCCAAAGAGACCCTCGGCTCAGCGTCGAAAGTTGCATTGATTGACCAATTGCTACTTTATTAATAAAAGAAGTGCAGATAATTTAGAGATCTATTTTTCTTTATTCCATCACACCCAAAGCCAAAAATTGGTGAATTTTTGGCTCCATCGAAGATGATGGAAGACATACATAAAAAGGAAGTGGATTGAAAATTATTGGACGGAGGGAGTACAAAATAATATGGAGTAGTAATAATAATAATAATAATAATAGTAATAATAATAATAATGTAATAGTAATAATTAAAACTAATTAAATATTAAATCCTAGATTTGTAACTTTACACCCTCTCTCTAGTTGGAACTTGTCCGCAATCTTGAGGGAGACCCAATCTTTACAATGTATTCTGTGTGTCTTTCTCTTCCCTAGAATCATTTACGACAAGAAGAATTGCTTTCCATAATCATCAATAGTCTATATATTGGTGTCACGGTCCCTTTCTAGGGGTGGCCTGAAATGTCAACACAAAGTCCTTAAAAGAATTTCTTGTTCCCGTGTCATCTAGGGGTGGCCTGAAATGTCAACACAAAGAACTCCGTCATGGTCGTTGCAGAAATCCCCCGGCTTGTGGATATTGTCTTCATGGCAACCGGAAATCTCAGACCTTCGATTCATGCTTGACACCCCCCGGTCTTCTCCAATGGTGTGCTATCCCATAGCATGTAAACAAACCCCTTCCATAGTCGGTGTTGGTGACCTTTCCCCTAAGAAAGTTATAGCTCATCTCTAAGCCTGCAATTTATGGTTAGGGAGCTTGGCCTTGGTGGTAGTGGCTGCCATGAATTCCCCACCAGGTGGCCAATTTGTCGGATCCAAAAAGTGCCATGGATTGTCCGTGCTCTGTTACCAAAGTGTTAGAGATCCAAAGAGAATTAAGAGATCCCTGAGATAAGTGATGAATCCCTCTTTTGCTCGTAGCTGGAAGAGGATGAACTTCAGATCCTATATTTTGTGACTAATTAGAAATAATTCTTTAATTGCTTGAATGGTGATTGTACTAATTATATAACCCCTCTGGTGATACTACTCTCAGGTGTCTTGGCAAGCAATTTAGTGGAGTTCTAACCTAACACAATCATGCTATTAAGAATATTAACTAAAACAGAATACTAATGATAATTTGAAGCTATCTACTATGAATCAACAAAGATTAGTAGATATTTTAATACATGTTCATCATTGCTGAAACTATAAGTTTAATTTCTAAAATGATACTCCTTCCGTCCGGTGTTAAACTTCCCATTTGGACTTTTTCCCATTTAAAGAGGTGTTGACTTTGGAACGGAAATGTCTAAAATACCCTCCCCCAATTTTCCCTACTCACTACCACTGCCCCTTGCTTCCACCATTTCTGTCGTCAACCCCACCGCTACCGCCGACCCAACACCACCATCGACCCCCCACCATCGCCGCAACCCCCACCACCACCTCAGCCCCTAGATCTTCCCAGACCTTGCAGATGTAGAAAAACAAATAGGATTTCTGCTTGGGCTTCGCCACAACCTCCACAGCACCAGATTTCTTGCGAGGCTTAGCTTTTGTACTCTTCTTCATGTCAGAACGCCCTTGAGAGGGTAATAATGGCTAAAGGAGCGGTTTAACCATGGCAAGGAAACCACATCTACTCGTTGGAAGTGAAGATGAACAGTGTCACGTAGGTCAACTCCAGCGATTAAACTCTCAAATCGCTGAATCTGAGAAATTTAACTGGTAGAAAGGTGCACAACGAGGAGAAGATCAAGATTAAACAATCAATCTAATGTTTAATCGGAGAAAGAATTGTGAGTCAAGGCTTGGCAATGGCTACACATCACTGTAGAAAAAATCGCAACACTGTAAAGAAGGGCGAGAAAGAAAGGGGGAGAAGAAGAAGAAGAATGAACGGATCTGGAGGAACAGATGTGGAGAGAAGAAAAGAAGGGGAAGAATGGTAAGTTGGGAGAGAGGCGAGGAAACAAGGGAGGAGAGAGAAAGGGGGAGGGGAGAGATAGAGTGAAGAATGGTAAGTGGGGGTATTTTGGGTAGTTGGTGTATGAAAAATTGAAGTGGAAAGATTATTTCCGGATGGAGAAAAAAGGGAAATGGAAAGATTATTTCCGGACGAAGGGAGTATCATATCTAATATTGAAAAATATTTATATAACAAATACCATATATTTATTAGAAAATTACAAATGTCAAATTTTAGAATGTATATGAGCCGGGGTTAACACTAGTTGCTTAGTACCTCTCTAATGGAACCAAAGATTCACTATTATTTGGCTTTGAGGTATGATGGCATAAGGCAAAATGGCTCTTTCAAGTTTCAACTATCTGCGCTTCTCTAAATAGTGAAGTAGCAGTCACTCAATGCAACTTTCGATGCTCATCATGGGTCATCTGGAAACATCCGCTCTATGTTTTAAACATAGGGGTCAGGCATTTGACCCCCCTTATCCCGCAATGGGTGGGGAGCCTTTGAGGCATTGGGGTAATGTGGGGTAATGTTACTGTTGTTGATAAATAATATAGTAAGTTCCATACGTCCCTAATTACATGTGGTTTTCCGTATCTAGTCCTTAATTCTAAGATATTACATAAATAGTCCCTAATTTTTAAAAACTATTCCATAAATGGTCCTTCATGGACTAGATATGGAAAAAATATTTTGACCTATTTGGCCTAATTTACTATTTATTGAATAGTTTTTAAAAATTGAGGACCATTTATGTAATATTTTAGAATTGAGAACTAAATATGGAATACCACCCGTAATTAAGGACCATTTATGGAATTTTCAATTCAATGTGGGAAGGATTTGGGAGGCGTTAGAAGATATTAGTTGTTAGAAACCGAAAGGAGTTGGAGCACACTAGAAGTTAAGAATTACAACCCAAGTGAAGAGAGCCTAGATCTAGTCCGGGATTAAGAAAGGAGATGTCTATATAAGCATTACATCTCCACGCCTCTTATTTTGCAACTCGGAAAAGTGTGCCTCGCTAAATATATAGTAAAACATGAAAATTCCTTAAGGCTTTTTGGAGTGTTGATTGGAATTTTCAGGCGATCCGTGTGTCTGGACTTCATAAAGGTCGCACCAGTTCATGTTGCTCACATGCTTGGTGTTATCATCTGTCTTTTCCAGATCGTAAGGAACTCACGCTTCAAAGGTATATCTTAATAAACATGTTTCATGGTGAATCATTTGAGGCCTTGGTGGGAATTATATCCGGATATGTTTAAATTTTTATTCTCCACTGCGTTTCCCCGACCTTAATTCCCAACAATCCCTCCCCTTTATCAAAGTCCCTTTTGCCACCCCCCTTGCACCTTCTCACGGTGGAATCGATTCTTCTACTCTGCACATGCCCAAAGTCCAAACCACCTCAAAATAGATTGATGCATCTTATCCTCTATTGAAACGACCCTTACTCATATGCCGTCATTCCGAACTTCCCCCTAGTTTGTGTGCTCATCCACCTGTGCATACTCATCTCAGCCACCCACATTTTCTGCATGTAATCGTGCAGGTGTTCTTTACTGGGCCAAGACAGGGACCTATAGAACACAGCCAGTGTAACCATGTTGGACCATCACGTAGTGCACACAGGAATTAAGGACCCAAAGTTACTCCCCCAAATCTAATTACAATAAATTTCAGCAATTGAATGAGCTTTTTCTTCAATTCATTTCCTGATTCCTCTCTGCAATTTAATAGTAGTATTCAGGCTAGTTTAAATATGCCTTGTTTTCCAGTAAGCGTTGCAAAGAATGCAAGGTTTTCATTTGGTAGCATGTAGTTGCTCTGGAGTGTACATATTGTCAAACTCTCAGGTTTTTAGTCACTTATGGACCTATGAAAAGCTGGTATTTCATTTTTGAATAGAGATATGTCAATGAAAAGCTTATATTTTGTAGGAGAGGAAGCTTGAATTACAACATGCGATCATGAAGATGGAAGAAGGTGGCAGTGCAGATGGTATTCTTCAGGTTAGCACTCTTACTTCAAATGAAATATCTGGTGTTTACTTTTTAATCATGAATATATATGGAAACAGTTATCACATAGCGTGAATGCTTAATTATCTTTTTCTTGTCTAGGTTCGTGCTGATCGCATTCAATCTGATCTTGAGGAGCTTTTGAAGGCTTTGATGGAATTTTCCAAGCAACACAATGTAGCTATGAAGTCCTCTGCAATAATTGAACTCCCCCATGGTAAAAATGTGTTCTTATTTCCATTTCCTAGACTATCTTATTTATCAATTTTTTGTTGGGGGAATGGGGGGTTGGTATTATATCTGTTGTTTTCTTAGACTATGAATCTTGTGCCCTATAGGTGTAAGAAGGTTGGGTATTTCTATGCTTAGGTTATGGGCAACCCTATCTATTGGAAATAGTCAATGTTTTTTTCTGCCACAATGCATGATGTGACAGTCAGAAAAATGCTCTTTGTTATTTGTTGCATGTTCTTTTGGGACTATGCTTGATCCTGCAGTTTTGTACATTTATGCTGTATTCTTTGTCTTGCTCTTCAACTAATCTCTTTAAGAAATCTTTATCAAGGTTGGGAGCCGGGTATTGCAGAAATATCTGCTGTTTGGGATGAAGATTGGGACAAATTTGAAGATGAAGGTGACAAAAGTTTTCCACAATACTTTATATACACATTATCTTCATGTCAATTGGTCTTGGATGAAGTTTAGTAAGACATAACAAAATAAAATTGAATGTAATAAATGCGTGTCTAATGTAAGTTTACTAAACATGCAATTGATAACATTGCATTGCATTGCATTCTGGCTTATCAAACATTATTTTGGCATTATGACCAATCAATCGGAACTCTTTAAAAGATGTTTATCATAGTTGTTGATACTATTGCTTTCAGGAGTTACTTTTGATATTGCTGTGCCTGCAAATACCAAATCAACATTGCATCCCATCCCCATAAATGATGGGACTAAGTCAGAAAACCGTTACCGTCAAGGAGTTACATCCTTTGAAACAGAATCAGCAAATACATACGTGGATGAGTCTAAAAGCCCCCCGGGGGGTAGCCCTGAGTTTCAAAGACCATTTCAAAGCATCTCCGAGGATCTCTCTGATGATCATATTCGAAAGAGTTTTGAAAAAGATGCTGAAACTAATCGGTTTGGACTATTTTCTATTCTTTTCTATTACTATTTCCATTTCTCTGATACTCTTATTTTGTTGCATAATTATCAAAGGAAAATGCCAATGCAATGGTTGAAAGAGAAAAATGGGAATTTCTTAATTGGAAAACGGAAAGTTACATTTTTGCAATGCACTAATGGATGATTCGAATTAAGAATTTTCCATTTTTTGGGTTTTAACTATTGCCTTAAGGGTGTGTTTTTTTGAGGAGAAGTGGAAAGGCGATGAAGGGGGAAGAAAAATTGGAAGGAAATTGAGAAATTTCCATTGTTTGGTTGGAGAGAACTTGGAATTGAAATGAGAAAGAAGTGGGAAAGATGTTGGAGGATAGTAGAAAAAACTTCCCTCCACAACTGGAGTTAGATGGAAAGGAAGTTTAGCTTTGAGCTCTCTTCTCCCACTAGTCTTTTTTTATTTTTATATAATTTGATAAAAACAATTAAACTTACAGTAATAATAATTTTAAAATGAATAAAAACATTTTCAATAATTTTTAAATTATTTAAAAATTAATTTATTTTCAATAAATTATTTTAATTTTTAATTATTTTTTTGGTATATTTTTTATATGTAAAAAATAAATTAACTTTTTAATAATAATAATATATACTTCCTCTGTCCAGTGTGTTTGTCGAGTTTCACTTTTGCAATCAAACTTGACAAATTTTGATCATCAATTAAATAAATATTATGTAGTACATTGTACAGAGTATATTTATAAAACACAATTATTTTATGGAAGTATTTTACAAGATAAATGCAGTTAAATCATTTTTGTACTAATATGTAACGTAGTTTTTATTTAATTGATGATCAAAGTTCATGCAATTGCAGAAAGTGAAATTGGACAAACATACCGGGACAAAGCCCAGAGCTAGTAATAATTTTGTTCTATACAAATTTTTTAAATGGTAAAATTATAATTTAAATTCAATGAGTGACTCCTCTTTTATCGGCACTCTTTTATATCTTTCCCCCCTTATTTCTTTCCAACTAAACAAAACAATGGAAGTGAAATTTTCACTCCACTTCTTTTCTCCCAATTTCTTTCCTTTGTCAAACACACTTAATTTCTTTTGTTTATTTTTTTCTTTCAAATATATTTTTATAGAATTAGGAAAGATTTATTTTATTTTATTTGATATTTTTAATTATAATAAAATTGTTATATAAAACATCTCAATAATAATGTAATGATTGTCTTCTATAAACTTTTTTAAAAGAGTAATTATACTTTTATTTCAATAATTATTTTTTTTCCCCCTAACTTCCCTCCAACCAAAGAAGAGAAATTAACTTCTTTTTTTCAATTCCTTCCAAACAAACAACCCAATAGAAGTTCAACATCCACTCTATTTCTTCATTCTCCACTTCTTTCCTCTCCACATCCTTTGCCAAACCCACTGTAAGGGAAATTGTTACATTTCCCATTATGTAATTAGTGACATTGTCATTTGGACTTGTTTGTATTTGATTGCAAAAAAAAAAAAACAGAAGCTTCGAAGAATCTGCTTTAGATAACTTTGGCAATCATGATGATGTAGATCCAGTTTGGGGCTTCAGTGAGAAGGTGGGTGCACTTACCCATCCTTGACTTTAAGCTGCTGTGAATCTGTGATGAATGTGTGTGTTTTCCCTGTGAATATGTATATTGAGCTGCCATTTTGAGAATCACTAGATGTTTTCTTCAAGTGTTGATTTTATATTTTATGCATTTAATGTCATTCTTTCAAATGAATGAGAAAAAATTGATATGGTAAAAAACTGCCATCCTGAAATGCTTTTCTATCAGGCTATGAGCGAGCTGCCTGCATTGATCTTTTTGGTTCTCTGCCTGCATGTTTGAAAATCGAGAGCATATATTCTCTTCTATATTAATCCCTCCATTCCAAATTAATCTTCCCACTTTTCCTATTGGGTTGTCTCAAAATAAGCTTCTCATTCCTTAAAAGGAATGGAATACGTGGTCCATATTGATTCATTCTCCTCTCCATAAATCACAACCAAACAATTATATGTTTCTTAAACTACGTAAAAAAAGCAAACAGGAAGATTAATTTGGGATGAAGTAATAAACTATAGTCGAATTGGCAATGCTCATATTTTTAATGCTCTAATTAATAATATTCTTCCTACAGGACTCTGATCATGATAATCATGGGGAAAACTATTTCTTTGGATCTGGGGGTTTTGGTGAAAGTCCATTGAGATCGGAATCCCCAGCTGTAGGGAAGAATAGCCTGTTCACCTTTGAGGATTCTGTTCCTGGGTCTCCACTCTCTAGAGCTGGAAATTCACCAAGATACAGTGTTGGGTCAGGGGATCCCTTTGAAACTTTCTCCAGGACTGATTCCTTCTCTACTCATCATGATCATAGCTCTTCTCCTAGGAGAGGAACTCTCACACGATTCGATTCCATCAACAGCAGTGTTGGCGATGATCGCAATCCAGGTTTCTCTTATGATGATTCCGACCCCTTTGGGTCTAGTAGTGCATTTAAGGTGTCAACAGCAAGTCAAACCCCTAAAAAAAGTTCTGATAATTGGAATGCTTTCTAGTTTGTAAAACCTTGGGGTCTACACAAACCAAGTTCTACACGCATTCCACCATATATGTTGCTGATACATGAATCGTTTTTGTAGTTGTATAGCAGTCCAATTTTTTTAAGGTTTGATTTCTCCGCCGCAGCATACATTCAATTTAAAAATTCAGATGAGACTAATAGTGTGATAACTGTTAGTGGAGAGCATGTAATGTCATGCCATATAATTTTTTTTGGCTTTCCCCTTCTCGGGAACATGTTTTGCTTACATGTTCGTGTGGCATAGACTTGTTACGGAATGCCTGAAACAGATTGTATGTCCTGCATATTTTAAGTGTATCTAAAATGTCTTTGTATTCAGAATCTTTTCGTGCTACCGGAAAGTTCTTGTGCTATTCTAAAATGAACAGGTTATGTTTTGTTTAAAATCTATTGGAGGTGGACATTGGGATGGTGGGGAGAGATTAAAGCAGGAAATTAGCAATAAGCGTATGCACTGGTAAACAATTGACTTTTTTTTTATTTATTTATAAAGGTAAATACGTGACCTAGAACTTGCATTAAAGACGAATTGTGAGGCTAAGTGTTGTAGGGTCTCCTACTGATTGGATAGTTCCGATTTGGCCGGTTAGAAGAGATATACGGAGAAATAGGTTCAAATTCTTGGATTAAGGGTTCGCCAAGCAATGTGAATGGACGATTACGCAGCTCCTGAAACAGCGATGGCTCATGAAGGAACAAGTCCAACTCTTGTCGGCTCTGCTGTAAAATTTGTAAACCCAGTGGTTCTGCCAAAAATAATACGGAGTGATAATCAGGAAGTACCTCAACTCATAATGAAGGTAGGAATCAATTCCATTTTAATCCAAAGACTGAATTTCCTGCATTTGAAGGGGGGAAATCCATATGAAAGGACTATGAAATGTAGGAGAAACTTCTCGGATTGTAAACTACTCCACTAACAGAGGAGAAATCATCCATCCGTCCCGTTTTAAATCGTCTGTTTTAATTTTTGGGCATATTTAATAAAAATAAAAAATAGAGTTCATTTTTCGAAATTGTTAGTACTTTTTAGGAGGGATTATGATGAATGAGGAGATAATGTGGACAAGAGTGACTTATTTTAGAGGTAGTTTAAGTATTCTACTCTTAAAAGTTTACAAAAACAACTAACAGGTAAATTATTCTGGGACAGTGAAAAAAGACAAACATACAATTTAAAATGGGATAGAGGTAGATTATGAAATAGGTGGACCTGGCTACAATCCATTTGAAGGGTAATCTACCGACAAGGGATAATTAATATTGAATGTGATGAATTCATTGTGGATTAGTGTCCAACTAGTATTCGAACCTGTGCATTGCAAGGGCTGGACATAAGTTTTATGTTAATATACAGATTTTCTAGAAACAAATCATTTTCAGAAATTCTTGCGTATTTAATATTCATAAGTTATTGAGTTAACCAGTAGTAATTCTTAAACACTAAAAAACATAGCTTTGAAACAATGATGTTAATTTTTGTCTTCAAGCTATTGTCTTGATATAAAATTTATGTCCGCAGTTGAACATTGGAACTAAAATATACGTTTGGTAACACGAAAAGAGACTTATGTATAGGTAACCATGACTGAGATCTAAATTTTCATGGGTATAAATAGCATATAGTATGGGGTAACTCCATATTAAATGTATGTATTTGTTAAATCTTTTCTTTTATTTGATTTGACATAAAAATTTCCTTGAGCCACACATTTCTTTTTTCGATTCTCAAAAATATAAAGCATGCATTTTTAAGTTTTTGCTTTTTTTCGTTTTTCAATAAAGAGTAGTGATGAAGCATGTGGTATTATGGCAGCACACCCAACCAATCAGACCGGCCCAATTTATGGCACATCATCACCAAAAAATCGATCCATCTTCAGCAGCCCAAATGCAGTGACCCAACCCAAACAAATGGACGGAAACACTGTTCATATATGCCTCATACCTTTGTATAGACTAGATCCGTACCCATGTATTGCACGACTAGTAATTTAGATGAGTATAACAGTTATATTGATTTTGTAAAAGGAAAAAAATGCTGTATATTAATGAAAGTACTTGATTCGTATGTAAATATTTAGAGGATAACAAAATAAGCATAAAAACCAATGGATAGTTTCTCTCTCTAACCATGGGAAAGCCACCAAAAACGACCGAAAAAGATGCCAGAGAGAAAGACTTTGAAACAGATTTACCGTCGTGCTCTATGGAGTATCCTTCCATACCTGATGGTACTGAATTAGGAAATCAAGCTGATGATCAATCGATTTTGGAGAAGACTCCTTCTGTGGAGATCAGATATGATGAAGTGCATAGGAAAAGATTTGCTGAGGTGGTTGGAATTCAGGAGGATTTTAGATTTGACCTAACATATGTTCTAGAAAAAGAAATTGAGGGGGGACATGTTGTTTGCCTTTCTGAGGAAGATGTGATTGACCCAAGTAATTACTAGGACTCAGCCCTTGTTTGTTACATACTGGGAGCTAATCCCCCAATTGAAATTGCTAAGGGATTTCTATCTAGAATATGGAAGACTTATAGTATTGAGGATATATCATTCCTGACTGTTCATAGTTAGGTTTGGGAAAGTGGAAGACGGGGATGAAGTGATTAAGAGATCGTACTACTTTATGGACAATAAACCTGTATACGTGCAGAAATGATATCGTGGTTGTACGATGAATATTCATGAACGTAAGGATATACCTGTAATGGTGCAGTTTCCTAAACTGGAGATGAAGTATTTGAGTCTCTCAGGGTTAAGTAAGCTTGAAAGTGCAATTGGTAAACTTGTGAAGAGGAACAAAGCAACTGCCTCAAGAGCCAAATGGTCTTTTGCTCGTATTCAGGTGGAGGTTCAAATAAATCAAACTTTCCCTGACCAAATTAACTTCATCAATGAAGATGGCAAAATCATTACTCAATTAGTGAAGTATGAATGTCCCCCCTACTTAAGCCCCCTACTTATGCTCCATTTGTAATAGAATTGGGCATTCTGCTGAGATGTGCAGGAGGAAAACCCCCTTAAAGACATTGGCCCTCTCAACAAGAAAACTGTATGAAGACCCAAAAGGATACAAACTAATGGTAAGGAAAAACTTAATGTGAAGGAAGATAGCCCTCCATATGGGGATGATGATGATGGAGCAGATGGGAGGAGCAAGGAAGATATACAAACAATGAATGGAGAGAAGAACCAATCAACTAGTCCCCGAGATAATGATGGGTTTACAGAAGTGAGTAAGAAGAAAGCTGCAAGAAGAATGTCCTTGGAGGGAAAGGAATTGTATGTGGGAGGTATTCATACAGATTTACACCATGCCCCTTACAAAGGGCATTTTCCTTTCCTGCAATGACAGGGTGCTGGAGTATAAAGGGGCTTAATAGCACTAATTAACAACATGAAATAAAGAATACAATTAATAAATATAAACTATGTGTGTTTGGTATCCTGGACACTAAAATAAGGGATGGAAGGGTCAAAAGTATAGCATGGGATGGAATTCTTATATTAATAAGAATTTTCGCCCACTGGGGAGGATCTGGGATGTATGGAATCAGAATATGGTGAACATTAGGATTATGGATGTTACAGAACAGTTAGTCCACTATTAGGGGAGATTTGTTGGGGATGACAGAGAGTTCTTCCTAACATTTGTTTATGCACATAATGATCCTTCTAAAAGGAACTTTGGGATAATTAATCTTATTAGCATCTTTGTAAATGCTGCTTGGTGTGTGCTTGGGGATTTCAATACAGTCCTAAACCTTGATGAAAAAATAGGTGGTAATCCTGCAAATTCGGAGGAGTTTGGAGCTTTTAAAGATTGTCTTGGTGAATGTGGATTAGAAGATCTACCTTTTGAAGGATAAAAATATACCTGGACAAATAACCAAGACATGGATAACATGATATATTTAAAGTTAGATAGAGTATTGGGTAATGTGGAATGGCTAATCAAGTTTGATTATAAAGTCTTCTTCATGGAAAGAGGTATTTCAGACCACTCCCTTGTGTTGTGTATGAAGACACGGAACAAAACATAAGGAGAGAAGAGAAAGTAAGGTTACTACACAAGATATTACCGGGGTTGTGTGAGTGAGTGTAGGGAGTAATTGGTATTTAGTTACTCAAGAAAAAACATCCGGGTGTAGGGTGTGGGGAAGAGTTTTTTTTTGATATCGTTCTAAAATAGTGAAGATATAATTTTTCTCTCAAAATATTCTTCTTGTGTGTGTCTATTTATTTTTCACGATCTTGATATTTTCGAAGTCTTACATGCTTAAAATCCCAACAATTGGTATCAGAGCCAAGTTCCATTTGAGACAAAGGGATTTCAAAGCGGTAATGAGAGAAAATCAAAGAACTTGAAAATCGCATCAGTAAAAACTTTGAATGTTTCTGTCGAACCTTTTGATGGATGTGGCGGTTCTACTCTGTGGCAAGAATGAGTAAAAAGAGTTCTTACTTGGGAAGGGATAATCAAGGATTTAAAGGTGAAGCTTCAAATGACAGAAAAAATGACGGATGGTGAGTGGGCCAAACATCAGAAGAACGACAAACCAGAAAAATTGTTGGAAGAAGAGTGGGAGGATTTGAAGGACATAGAAACGAGTACAATTTGCCTATGTCTTGTAAATAATACTCTTTGGGAGGTTCTTGGTTTGACGGACCTATTATATATTTGGGACAAGGTGGAGAGTCGGTACAAGTCGAAATCGTTGACAAGTAGGATATACTTGAAGAAATGATTGTTTGGTCTCAAAATGGCGGAGGATGCAAACTTCAATGGACATTTGGATGAATTTAAAAAGATTAAAACAGAGTTGAAATCCATTGATGTGAATATTGAAGAGGAGGACAAGGCATTGCTTTTGTTGGCTTTATTGCCTTCGTCTTTTGAAAACATCTTGACCAGGCTCTTGTTTGGAAAAGAGACCTTAAAATTTGATGTAGTGATGTGTTGTTGATGAACGAGACTCAGTGGAGCGGCAACGGGGTATCAAATGAAGGTCAAGCTTTGGTAGCAAAAACGATTGGTCGGGAATGAGGACATTCTAAAGAGAGGGGTGGCGTGTCCCAATGCTCCAAATCGAGCAATAAAATTTTCCAGTGTTACTATTGTGATGAAGAAGGTCATTTCAAAAGGGATTGCCAAAGAGGAGGAAGGAAAAGAAGGACGAAAAAACACCTTTGGTTGTGATTGTCGAAAGTTTGAACCAAGCAAGTAAAGAAGACTTGTTCTTGGCAACTACAAAAAGTCTAGGTAAATCACGATGGATATACGATTCTGGTTTTTCGTTTCACATATGTTCAGTTAAGGAACATTTTGATACGTATCAAACTTATGATGAGGGTGATTTCATGATGGTAAA